TGTTAATGGGAGATTAGCACTATGTTGATGGGAGAGGTTAGGCTGGGAGATTAGGGGGATTAGTAAGTTAATGTCATGTCTATGTGTGACACAAGCTGATGCGCTGCCAACTGCGCTGTGAGGTAGTCACGAAAGCTTCAAATCAAAATTAAAAAGTGAAGTATAATGTTTCAACGTATGTTCAAAGCACCCTGAATGTGCCTGACCTCATGGGATCATGAGAGAGTCAAGCAGGCCTGAACATGGATAGTACTTAAATGTGTGACCACCAGGGCATGAGATGACAGTGCTGAGTGCCACACTCCCGTACGCTTCGTGAGTTTTCTATGGTTTCCTTCCACACGAAACCACAGTCATTAACGGAACTCGACAAACATCAGAGTGCAGTAGGACCCTCCTGAATATTCGTTTTGGAGACTCAGTGTGGCTTTTAGAGTTAATACTTGTAATTATTACTTAACGTATAAGAGGAGATGAGTGATAAGTGCTATTTTGTGATCGTGCTGGCTTATGACGAAACAGAGGTCGCAAACAGGTTTTGATTCCTTATCCGTACCCGTACCCGGCCGCACCAGGGTCGCAAACGGGTACCCGTACCTGGCCGGGTACGGGTAGCCGGGTATCGGGTAGGGTACGGGTATCAAGTACCCGGTTGCGACCTCTGTGACGAAACCACCCAGAATACGCCAACAATTGCCAGAGCTCATAAGCTAAGTAGGGATGAATTTGGATACCATCCAGGTTGTCACGAGTGACTTTGGGGCTTTGGTGCGTGGTGACCAGCAGATGGCAACTGCAGGACAGTACTGCTCTGATCCCACGTACCCCCTCCCCGCCCACACAAACTCACATTGACCAGCGTAGTGAAGTATGGCTGAAACAACCCCTGCGATCCGCATGGCGTGGAAAAGCGTTTCCCTCCTCCGGCAGTGGATTGACAGAGGACTGTAGATGCCCAGTAAACATGCCAACGCTGAGCTAACGTTGGCATGTTATTGGAACTGTTGGACAGCGTTGTTTACCGAGGGTGCATGTGTACTTTTTGTTGTTGACAGTGGAATGAAGGGTAACAGGAGATATTCTTGGTTATTTCGGTAAAGTCACGTAGAAGGGAAACAATAAAATAATAAAATATATAACAATAAAATTCATCAGGTGTGAAAACCACAGCAATAAAATGTTCTTGCTGTGGGTTTGCTCGTGTTGCAATCGAAACGTCGTGAGAATTGTATTGTTTTATATTTTATTATTTTATTGTTTCCCTTCTACGTCACTTTACCGAAAGAACCAAGAATATGAATCCCTGCAGTCACGAAAGCTTTAAATCAAAAGGTAACAGGAGATGTTACTGTGATGTCAACATCACGGAGTTGAAGCGATGCCCTTAAATAACACGTAACGAATAGAATATCGATGCTTGCCAAAGAAGTTTTGATTAATATTGAAAAAAATACGTGTATGAATTTATTTGCAGACCTCTGAAACAGGATTTAGTTCATATTAACTATATTCTGCTGTTCGTTGCATAATCATTTCATTTAACATTTGAATGGAGTATTACTCTGTACACAATACCCCAGAGATGTATGCAAATGGCACAACGAGTGAAAAGTTCTTAGACCTTTCTCAATATAAACCAATGGAAATGAAGGACGAGCGGTGGCGCAGTGATTAGCACCCTGATCTCTGTACCCCATTCAACCGAGTTCGATTCCCGTCCGCGGCTAACATCTATTCTGGCGCGTGATGTTTGAAATCGGTCTTTGGGAATCCGCACCTCTTCACCAGAGCGAACCGACCTCGTCAAACCCGGAAGGACCATCATCCGGCAGTGGATTGACAAAACACAGTCATTTATGAATGTGCGCTGGGAATGTTCCGATTCGGATGGGCCGTCGCTACATCAGAATTATGCACTGACAGATACGGAAAACCTACTTCGATTGCACACGAAACAACAAAATTGAGGGTGTCCCAACAGTCAGACCACGTAGGGTTATTATATTTATTTTAACACGTAACATAGGGGTTATTTTCATTTTTTGTTCAACATTTGCTCAAACTGATTTCCATTAAGGCGAATGCGTGCATGAATTCTCACTTGAAATGAATGTATTTTAAGATTACAGCTGCCTTCTTCAGCATACGTAATAAAAAAAAACGAATTGAAGCCGTTCGTCTTCAGTCAATCTCCTTTGCCATTAGTCACGCGGCCTTCTGGGACTGCGTCATTTCAGGAGGATCGTTTTGAACACGAGCACACCGTGCACCGGTTTCGACATTATGCGTCTCATCAGCAGAGTCAGGCGTGTTGTGACAAGAGAGATCAATGGAGAAGAGGGTGGGTGGGGGGTAGGGAAATGGGGTGGGGGGGGGCAAAGGGGGGGGGCAGGGGATTGGAGCGGAAGTGGGGGGAAGGGAGTGCTGGGGCAGGGGGCAAAAGAGTGGGCGCCGAGGGGAGGGGCTACTGCAAAGACAAAGATCCCCCGTATAGCCTTGACAGACTGTTGGGGCAAGTGCTGTCATCGAGAAGCACCTATGAAGGCCGGAACGGCACACGAGAGGGGGGGGGGGGGGTGGCCTAGCACCACGCCCGACCGCCTTTGTCTCCCCAGTGGCGATGTTTTTTTTCTACACTGCACCAGGTACTCATTTGAGGCTGAGCCTACCTAGGGGAAGGCCCAGGACCGGTTCTGATAATCGTCGCGAATGTTGGCCGTGAGCGAGAATCAAACTCGGGTGACCGGATTCGTAGCGCAGCGCGCTAACCACTACACAGAGTAGCACGGGGAAGGTATTTAAATACTGTACGTACACAAATAACCAACGCCCCACCTCCATATAGCCTACACACTAGACCGTCAAGGGAAGTATTGTTGCGAGCACTTATTGGGGCGCCACGGTGGCGAGACTTTCACCTCCTGTTTACCAGGAGAGGTAGTTGGAGTTTGCGTGTCTCTCCCAGTGGTCTCGTGGGTTTTTCCCCGGGGTTTTCCCCCTCCACATTTAGAATTAACATCATCACGCGTTCAGAGCATTTGGCTCCTCTATATTTAAACACGATAAGCCATAATACGATAAGCCACTTCGTTGAGCTATCATTTTTGGACAGGTTGCTTCTGAAAAAGAGCTACATAGCTCAATGGGCCTTAGCTGGTAAAATAAAAGAAATAAAAGTTTTTAGTTTATTAAGGCCGTCACGGCCAGAGCAGCCCCGGCCGCCTTCATATCCCCAATACTGATGGTTACACACCGCATTAGGTACAGTACTCATTAAAACCTGAGTCTACTTACAATATTTTATTGCTGTTTCTGGTACGCTCCAGTCCCAGGTTCAGTTTTACCTGTCATCTCTGATGTCACCAACTTCAAATTCTAAATTTCCCCGGTGGTCCTCAACATCATATCCTTGGTCTGCCAATAAATTTCAACATGCTCGTGATACCCAGCTGAACATCTCATGACAATTTTGAGATATTTTAAGTAAAATGTTTGAATAACATTAATATTCGGATAATTAGAACCTGAAATGTACACTTTGCAAAATTAGTACTAAAAATGAAAAGTAAATAAACAACACTTCCTTTTTTATGTTATAGCCTGTATGCCACAGTGTGGTTTAGGACTGTGAACAGCTTTTATAGCCCCTGGTAGAACAAGATGCAAACCCAAATTGTGAAACTTTTGCGCGGACGTAGTACCAACTAATTTTGTTTTTAGAAGAACTTAATTATGCTCTTCATAATGAAGTACGTATTGTGATTTGAACTTAGCAACCTACGTTTGATTTTTGGCCACGACTAAAAGTGGCAAGTGATATATGAACCGATCCTGCCACCCCTTCACCAACCTGCACTGACCAGCACGGCGAAGTAAGGTCAAACAACACCTTTGGCTGATGTGGGGAGGGGACATAATTGGAAGAGCCAAAGCCCACAGAGTCTCATGACTCATTGATCATGGGAACATCAACTGTGGTACTGAACTTGAGCCAGAAAAGGGCTGGTAGATGGCTGGCACTGTGGCGTAACCAGGGGTGGGGAGAGTGCCATGGTGGGCATTGCCTCCTCCCCCACTGAAAAACATACATTGAATGTGTTTTTTCATTAATGTACTTCTCTCTTTAAAAAAAAAAGCTTACAATTTTGAGATTGGCTCCCCGCCACACATACGTGTATGTACACACACACATGCATGTATGTATGGTGTGTGTGTGTACACAACGCAGGGTGTGGTAGGATGTAGTTGGTGTGTGTGTGTGTACACAGTGCATTGTGCAGTAAAAATACGTGTCGTGTGTTGTGCGGTAGGTAGGAGTGGCTGCTGTTCAGGTGTATACAGTATCTATATGTGCTCACACACGGCAAGGCGTGTGACGAGGGAGTGGTGTGTGTGGTGTGTGTGGTGATGGTCGACTCAGCCTCAAATGAGCCCCTGGTGCGTTGTGTAAGCATCACCAATCGAGAGTCAAAGGCGGCCGGGCGTGGTGCTGACCACCCACCCCCTCGTGTGACGTGCTAACAGCACTTGTCCTAGAAGTCTGTTGAGGCTGTACTGGGGGGGGGGGGGTCTTTGTCTCTGCCTGCGATGACAGAGAGGGTGTTGGGAGGGGCTCGGGGGGGACAATGAGAGGGGGGGTGGTGAGGGGAGGGGCTGGGAGGGATGAGGAGTGGGGGCTGTGGGGGATGAGGGGCGGTGCTTTTGGGGGGGGGGGTGTGATGAAGGGCGGGGCTGTGGGGGTGGAGGAGAGGGGGAGGGGTGTGATGAGGGGCGGGGCAATGAGGGGCGGGGCTGTGGGGGGAGGAGGTGAGGGGGAGTGATGAGGGGCGGGGCTGTGGGGGGAGGAGGAGAGGGGGAGGGGTGTGATGAGGGGCGGGGCTGTGGGGGGGTGATGAGGGGCGGGGCTGTGGGGGGGTGGTGAGGGGCGGGGCTGTGGGGGGAGGAGGAGAGTTGTTGACGTCCCGAGCAGTGAGAGCGCGGAGCCGTGCGGGGGTTGGGGGTGGAGGAGGAGGGAGGAGGAGACGACGGCGTTGGCGGTGGTTGGTGGGGTGGTGGGAGAGACGACGGAGAAAGGAAAAGGAGAGAAAGTGAACCGGGGAGAGTTCGGATAGGGTGGCAGATTTGGGAGGTGGAGGAGAGATCGAGAGATAACAAGAGCGAGACAAAACGCCGTCGGGGAGAAAGGAGGAAAGGCGGACGGAGGCGGAGCGCCGCCGGGCTCGAGTCGACGAGAAGAGAGAGAAGCGAAAGCGCTCGCGGCGAGGGACGCGGTGAGATTGTTCCCAAAAGCGGGACACAAGGAGGGGGGCACGGAGACTGAGCGAGACAAGAGGGTGAAGGGGACGAGACACGAGAGAGAGAGAGAGAGACACGAGGAGGAGGAGGAGGGAGACGCTTGAGGGACGCGGAGCCAAGATGGCAGCAGCAGCAGCAGCAGGAGCAGCGCGGCCGGGCCCGAGCGCGCAATGATCGGGGCGCATCTCGTCCGTTCCGCGGGCTCCTCCTCTTCCCATGGCCCCCATCTACGAAGGTGATTACTCCCATCATCTCTCTCTCTCCATCTCATCACTTCACCCACCACCGTTCTCACGGCGGAGGCCTCGGTGGAGGCAGGCACCCGGTCTCGGAGTAAGGACCCGGTGTTCCGGTCACAACACCGCCTGTCCTGAGGGCTCCCTTTGTCCAACAGGATGGGTTTAAAGGGCTCGGAACAGGTTCCTCTGTGCTCGAGTTGGGTTCGACGTGTTCGGTTGGGGGGGTGGGGTCTCTAGTTCTCGGGTCTCCACCAGCTCGAGTTACCCACGCCTCATCCCCGGTCTTGCCTGGTTTCCCCGCCCGGCGCGGAGTCGCGTGGGCCCCCGGGTGACTCAAGGCCGCACCATCTCGGGCTCGACAAAGACGGCTGCGCGGTGATTTCATGAACTCTTGGGGCAGCTTTTAACGATTATTTCCAAAATGCATATCTCGAAACGTGCACACTCTATCTACTTTGTGTGGGTATTCGTGGGGTAAGGATGTGTGCTACTCGCGCTGTGAGACTGTATTTTGTGTATCATGTGCAGAGCAGCTGAGAGGGCATTTATTGTGGGACCAGGTGAGAAGCCATTGAGATCAAGAGCCTGTTTTTAATTAAAGCACACGTCTTTAAAACAATTACGAAAGGGGACTCTGGGACACAAAGGCAAGTAATGTATAGTAATAAAACATCTGTTCTAAATTTTAGAAATTGAGAGCTCTTAAGAGCGAAAGAAGCACATGACTAGTAAGCATCTCCCAACAATGAACGCAGTAAAATGTCAACAGTAGCATCGTGTGAGACCAGTAGCATGTTAACGTTATTTGGTTGTATATGTGTTTGTAGTTGATGAGAACGCGTTGTATAATGTATTATTTGTATCGTTCGCAATGATATTTGGAGCAAAAACGTAACGTTAACGCGAAAAGTTTGTAAGACTGGGCACTTTCGCAGGTGTTAATGTGAAATTATATTGGGGGGTATAACAAAACAGCCTAGCTGAATTAATGTGGAGGAAATCCATATTTTCCATAGCCCATCGAATTGTATCTGATGACGACATGACGTGTATACAAACAACGGTACCACGTTATTTATAGATGTCCCAACATCCAAGCCAATTCAATGCTCCCGCCCAACGGGGTTTGTGGCGATGATTTCGTGCGTGCCTCTGACTCTGCTCACTCCCCTTTGTGGCCAATGTTTTCTTTAACATTGCATGCAGTGTCAACTTTTGTATATGAAGCTTACGCCTACAGCAAACTTTGCAGAATATCGTAAAGAAGCATGGAGGGATGCATGCTTCGAATAGCATTTGGAGAAGTGATGACGAACACATGGATTAAATAACATCCTCAGATGTAAAGATATAATTTATATTGTTAAGAAAAGTGGGCTTAGGGGTAGGTCATCGCTCCAAGGGATGCCGACTAATGTTTAAGATTAGCAAGGGTAGTGACGGCCAGTGGATAAAATGCAGCCGAGTTAACGTCCACCAGATAGAGAGATGGAGCGACAAAATTATACTGTGTGGGTTGCTAGGTGGATCGTTGCCTCGTAGGATCGTGAGGGATTACGTCGGCTATTTAAATCCATATGGTTTTTCTACGTCTTGAGATGCATTCATATTTAGTTACTGTACTCAATATATTTTAATACCTAACTTTTTAAAGATGCTACGCAATATTGGGTGGCAGGGGAGAAATGGCGTAATGGTTAGCGCACTGCGCTATAATCCCTACCACAAAAGTTTGATTCCTGGCTCGGGCTAACATCAGTGGCGAGCAAACTCTGAATCAGTCCAGGACTCAGCAATGCTTTCTTCAACAACCCGCACTGACCAGCACGGTGAACTGTGTGGTCATACAGCTTCCATGTCTGATGTGGTGTTGTAGGGTGGCCGTCTATTTATGCATTACCCAAAGACTGAACTTTGTTATACAAAATTGGGGGAAGGTTATGCAACCATGGACAACAGGGGAAGCACATATTCATCAGGGGTTTTCAGGGTTTTTCCAAGGAAGTTCGTTAAAGACGGTTGATATTTATATATTCAACCTGGAGAATATGTCCAAAGAGATGTGTGTGGAGGAGTGACGGGAGTGGATGGCTTTTAATAAAATAAAATCACCCGGGATAAATAACAGCTTAACGTGGAGAAGAGGAAGTCTTTTGGACACTTTATGGGATTTTTTTTTATAATCAAAGTTGTATAAATTTTACCTGGAATTTGCACGATCCCATCAGACATCAGTAGCTAAACAGGTTTGAGCCTGGCAAGTGCTTGAACGGCCGACTGTCATGCAAAAAACAGTTTGAGGCGTTCTAGACTATTACAGGAATACATTATCATCAAAGGGCAGTGTAGAAAAATCCATTGTTACTGTGCTGTGCTACAATGCCTATGCTCCCTGCCTTTACCAACCCACACTGACCAGCGTAGTGAGGTACGGTCAACCAGCATAATGTGCACAGTATGGAAGGCACTTCATCTAGCAGTGGATTGACCAAAAGGCGTACATATATATAAAGTACATCTCGCTGGGTGATTCTGGTTAGTGCATGGCCACAATGGGAAGTTTCAAAGTTAAAATATTGTTGACAGATTTTCCATGCCATGGTATTGTGGATTTTCCATCATTGACTTCAGAGCCACCAATGGAGAAGAGTATGTGGACATGATAATAGATTTTTCCTTTTTTTTTGGCAACAAAACAGGTGTTAAGATGTTAAAACACCAAACTGAAACCTTTTATAAGGAATCATGTCTGCATTAACCACAATGCTTGTGGTCAGAATGCAAAAAAAAATGTTTTTGCTATTTCTACAGTTAATGGATGCAAACTACAGTGGTTTACTATATGGTCCTTGGTTGCATATCCACAATATCACTGTGGCTGGCCATTAGTTTTCTTTTTATGAAGGAGATTTGCACATCAGCTTGTTGATGATATGATACTGTGGATGGTGCACTAGTATCTACGACCAATTTTAAATCCAGGAGGTGCAATATTTGTGTCTCGAATTGGGTGCTTATTCTGGATGTCCTGTGTTCCACTCCTTTCGCCAGCTTTCTTCTGGATCTGTGTCAGATTCTAGAATGCTGACAGCACGATTCCAGAAGGAGCGATTGGAACTTGAGTTGGCAGCGAAAGTACATTGTTGAGGTCTTGGTTAATGTGTAGGTGGTAGTTGTTGTTGCAAGAAAACGTGTCGGCTCCCTTGCATATCGCATGTCTATGTGGATATTTGGTGGTAGAATGTTTGCCAGAACAGGAAGCCAGACAATTGGTGTTGGTGTCAGTGTTCTTGTTATGATGCGCATTGTGTTATTTACCTGCGCATCTAACAGTGTTGTGTAAGAGCTGCTAAACCAGGCTGTAGTGCAGTACTCTATCACCGAGTCGATTAGTGATTGGGCGTCAGCTGAAATATCCCGGGTTGTGCCTGCAAGTTTTTGTAGCGGGGCTTTTTTTGATTTGGTATTTTCACAGATCTCTTTTTATGAGACTTTAAGGTTAGGCTTCTATGCATGATAACCCCTAGATATCTTGGAGTGGGGTCATCGCCCACTTGGCTACCACAACAGGACACAAGAAGAGCAGCATATGCTGCATGAATGTTCAGGTGGAAAGCACACTTGTGGTAATTTTTGAGAGATTTGGACAGTCTCCAGTGATGGAAATATCCCTCCAAATTCATTAGATCTGATGTTAGAGTATTGGGCAATATTCTTAAGGTTTGTGCCCTGTGCAACAAGGACTATGTCATCTGCTTATACAAACTTGCGAGATGATGCACCTGCGAGTTCATATGTGCAGATGACGGTCCTCTTGCTGCACCAGCAGACTCATTAACTCATGGTTATTGCTCTTTATGCCTTCACAGCATACCTTGCAAGCGTGACCTGCGACATTTGTTAGGTTCACACATCACACTAATTTATTCCAGCAACAACTATTGAATTGATCTACATTCTCAGCGATGTGAGATCGTATTTTATTCTTCTTTGTCCCCATATGAACATACGAATCTTGGATGTCAAATCAGCAGGTGTTATACTGCAGTATTATTCCAAACGTGAACCAAGATTTTCTGCCATCATCCATGAGCAGTATCCTGTCTTGCCTTAGTCTAATATTCCCTCTTTTTTATCCTGTGTGAACCCAACCTCAACCGGTCTTTCATGTATTTCCTTATAATTTATTTAGTTTATTGTTTGCCTTTGTTATCCTGTACCTTGCAGTGAACTTACTTTACACGGTATGTGAATACGAATGTATTTTTTTCTTGAAAAAAAATGAATATACAATGTTGTTGTGTATATTCGAGTGCTGTTTATATAGCAGCAAATCAGGCAGCTGAAACACAGCACACGGCTACGGTAAGACACCCAGTATTTGGGTTTTAGCTATATCCGTTTGTCAGCTCCCCCACTACTGTACCGTGCGATGGCTTCCTGGTTAACTGCCCCTTCGCCTCGCTATGTGGGCCTTGCTGTGCATCAAACTTGGCAAGGCAGCAAAAGTGACGTCGCCCACTTTTTAGTGGTAAATGCTGGTATGTTTAGTATGTGCGGTTGTGAAAAGTACTAAAGCATACGCGGCCCGGCCCCAGCATAAAGTATATGTGTGGGTGTGTGTATTGATCTTTTTCAAGGCTGGCGTGATCATACAAAGTGCAAATATAAAATGCTATATGTAATCATCATCAGCCAACATTTGTCCACTGATGAGTGAAGGTTAATGCACAATAATATAGCAATGTTGGTTCTCTATGTAGACTGGCCCCTGACAATAGGAATGTGTGATTTTCACCATTGGGCCAAGGCTGCCAACATTAGATAAGCTTTATCCAGTGCACCTTTCAGGATGAAAACACTTTGATGTGTTAAACTATCACGGGCTGGTGATATGTCTTAAGTCCAAAACGGAGGTGAGTAAATACAATTGAAATAAGGGCAGACGTTGCTATTCTTAGACACTGTTGGGTTTTTCTATCAAAACTTTTTTGGC